GATTAGCAAGACGATTAACGGAATATTGTTCCCGAGCGACTTCCTGGGTGTTAAGAATTTTTAAAATCATGGGATAGAATAGTTCTATTATTATTTAATTTACCGATTTCGATGCGCTCGATGAAAAAATATGCAATGATCCTATCATAAATGAATATAACACTTGCAGAAATTACTTATATAAGTATATGTTATATTGTGAATAAATGAACTAGGGAATATAGTCCGCAAAGCAAAATAGAATACATCACTCTCCTTCAGCTTACACTTGCTTAATTTGTTGATGATCCGACTAGTTAAGCCAGTCTGCCTTGCCCGCCTAATTGAGAAATAACGGGTGGTCTTCTGACGCTTGCTTCGCCTGCATTGGATTATGTTTAAAAAGTATTTATTCTATTCGTTTATTTACAAGATTTGATGAAAAAGAAAATGTTTCTTCTGTAAACAACGCAAAAAATTCGGTTGCCAAATTGCTGCGCAACAAAATCACAGAGGATAACAGTGTCATCAAAGAATATATAGACGAAATATTACCTAGAAAGGAAATTCTTCACTTTGTCAAGTGGCAAGTTATTATTATGCTTATTTTTAGCCATGAGCATATTGAATTATATGCTAATAACCAAGGAGAAGTCATCTTTTTTCGGCAGCGTGACGGGCCTTTCATGCCTTCTCTTAAGCTCTTGCATAAATGTAAGTTTTTCAATCATGTATTTACAGCGGCATCATTTTAATATTTTCATCTCTCTCGATAGATCCTTTTATGCTTCCCCATATGCAAGTTGATCGTGGGGCGATAAGATTCGTGCTTAATGGCTCTAATGTTATGTGCCCTGGCTTGACCTCACCTGGTGCGAAAATGACACAAGTTCCTGAAAATTGTGTTGTAGCTGTTACTGCGGAAGGCAAGCAGCACGCACTTGCTCTTGGGATAACAAAGATGTCCTCAGAAGATATGTATGTTTCCTGGGGTCCATTTCGAAAAATTATTTTTATCTATCGTTCTCCAGACCTTATAGCTTCTCCTCGTCTAATCACTCATTAATGTTTAGTATGTTGACCACTGCTATTTTAAATTATCTAGTGAGCTGTGCTATCTAAGTCACTTTAAATTATGCTT